AGGAGCGGGGCGCGGGGATGTCCCCGGTGCTCGAGCAGTGTCCGAGCGGGGCGGGCGGGCGGTTCTTCGCCGCCGGGTCTCTCTGGGGTGCCGCTCCGGGGGGGCAGTGCAGGAGCTGCTGTAGGAACAGCGCGTTTCCTCGTGAAAATGGTACGGTTTTTACTGTGTAAATGCTGCTTTCCCTCACTCAGGGCTTGCGTGAGTGTTCGGGGGAGCTCGCGTTGAAGCGGGTGGTATTTTTTTCAATGCATTGAGTTAAACGACTTCGTCTGCGAACGCGGCAAACTGTTTTCCGGAGTTGAGATGATCTTAGTGCTGTATTTCAATTCATCAATGACAGTTTGAAAAAAACCTCCAGTGTGTTTTTATATATGGAATTGGCACCATACCTGCAGAGGATGTCTTGCTTCAGGTTGGTCCCAGGACCTCTTTGCAAGTGTATATTGGTGTGGCTGAGACCTGTGCTGGCACCTAAATGTCTTGTTTGTCTGTGGAAGATGTAGCAGTGCATGTGACTTTCTCTGTACTTAAAAAGTATGAAATTCGGGGTTTCTTTTGTTCCTCCGTTTCGGTTGGGATCTGTGGTGCCTAAAAATTGGGCATCGTGCCTGGGTTTGGAGCCACTGTTAGAAGTGGCTCTTGTGTTTGGCAGGTTGGTGAAAATGCTCTACTGGTCTTGGTGCGTTGCTCATTTAAACTTTTTTTTGAGTTCGTGATGCTATATTTTACGTGTATATTTTAGAAACTGCAGTAAGCTATTGTTTGGTCACTTTATTTCACATGCCTAATTATTAATTGTATCGCAGTGGGCTGCAGTATTGAGCAGACCCAGCTGAAAGGTGTTAGAACTGAGGGGATGCTCACAGGTGGTTTGAGTATCTGCTGCCCGCTCACAGGTGGTTTGAGTATCTGTTTTGAGTATCTGCTGCCCGCTCACAGGTGGTTTGAGTATCTGCTGCCCAATTACAAGTTGCTTGAGTATCTGCTGCCCCTGTGTGTTCTGAAGTTGCCGGGCAGATCAATAAATCTCTTACACCTGGCACCTGTGAACGTGGAACCACAAACAAACGGTTTTCTTCTGGGCAGGAAGGTCATAGAACTTTCAATTCCTTTCGAAATTTAAGCACTGGTGTTGACTTTAAAAGAAATTTGAGGTGCACTTTTGGACAATTAAGTCACCTGAAGCTGCTGTTTAATTGTTACCCTGATTGTCCCCAGCTGATTGTCCCAGCCTGCAGGCTGAAGGCACTGTTCTGATGGCTACCCTGCAAATGCCCATAAGTGAATAAATGTAAAAGCAACTGTAACCTACTAAAGCCGTTTATTTCCTGTGTAGGATCCAGGCAGTAGGGATGATTGCCTGCTGCATTTCCATGTGTGCGGTGCCTGCATGCTGTGTGTATGTGCAGGCAGTATATATCTGTGTGGTGTACAGGAACCAGGCACCTAAATCCATAGGAATTGCACCACTTAGGAGTTCTTAGAGGAATCCATCTGAAGTGACTCTGGTCAGTGGATTGCAGCGGGATCCCCAGAGCAGCAATGTTGGTGTTTGCTCTTGTTGCAGCCTGTAAGATGGACACAATAACTTCCTCAGGGAGAAACACAGGAGGGGTCAGTGTCCGAAGAACAGAATCACACGATGTTCTGGACATCATCAGCCTCTTCAGCACTGCTACAGAAGGTGTCTTTGGAAGGGTTGATGTCATGTTCCTTTTGTAAGTAATGGTATTCTAGGACATTACCTTTCTTGTAGGATACTTCAGGCAATTAAGTCACATTTAAAATGGCAAGAAAACATTCTGAACCTATGTTGGGTGGTATCATGATTTTTTTTTTTCTGCTATTCCTGGAAAGTGAAAGAAAATCTACTTCCATCTGTCACACACATGACTGGGCAAACCTGGGTCACTGCTGTCAGTGTGGTGGACGTGATTTATCTATACTAGTCTCTTATAAAAATTCAGAGGAAATACTGTTGGCTAACTCCTGGTGAAACCCTCAGATTCCAGTGTCTGCTGCCTGCTCCATCTCCCAGAATGCTTTTGCCTGTTGGGGAGGAACAGAAGTGGAGGAGTTTTAATTGCTACGAGGCCATAACTCTTCTAACTTCTGTTCCTGTGTATGTCAATCACTTTTCCTTCTCTTCCATTTTCCCGTTAGCCAAAGGAGTGGGTTATCTTTTGCCCTTCTGTATTCTGCTGTGGGAGGCAGCATCTGCCTGCAGTAAAATGTTTGTGTGCCACCTCTTTTTGTGTCCCTGATACCCAGTGTTCTGGGAGGTTTGGTCTCTGTCTCCTGGCTGCTTGCACAGCAATGTCCTAAGAGGAGATGGGGATTGTAGTCGTGTTCTCTTACCCCACCTCCATCCCTGGAGCTCATGATGAACCTTGTGTGCTTCCTCTTTCTGTGCAGGGATGAACAGCAGACAATCTGTGGGGAATGCTTATGGGTCACTTTAGGTTTTTCCTACCTAATGGCAAAAATCTTGGGTAACAGCTATTTGGGGAACAAGTCAATGTTTGAGAAAACATACAGAGAAGAGGGAGCATTTAAGTCTTGCATCTCAAATTCATGATGATTGAGGATCTGAAAAATCATGTCAAGTGTTATGTTGGAACATTCTGTCTGGAACTGAAGCAATAATGTCAAGTTAAGATGTGGGTGATGAGGTTTGGAGGCCTGATTCTGGGAACCCTTTTGAACATGGCTAATTTTACTGTTCTAGCAGGCTGAATTCTGTCAGATGCTTTTCTATGTAGAGTTTCTTCAACTTCTGCACAATTCAATTGCTTTCATAGAGAAAAATCAAATCTTGCTTTGACCCTCTGCAATGAGAAGAATGAGGTTATAGCCCATGCTGCCTTTCTGGACTATCCAAATTGGAATATCACTGATCAGGCTAACTGGGAACCATTCCTGCATAAAAACTACACTAACCATAAGTGCACTGTAAGTAAATTGTGTGACTTATAATTTTCATTTAAGGCTTAGGTATGAAAAATATACATGGGCATTAAAGATGTGTTTTTGGTAGACCTGAGGCCTTTAGGCTGCAAGAGGTGCTGATCTGATTCCATAAGAAACTCTCGTGTTGATGTGGGCATCTTGGTGCTGGTGTGGAGACTGCTGCTCTCTGCTCTGTGATGGCAGCTTTCACACAGGCTCCTTGGGCAAGTGGATGAATTTCTCTTCAGACTTACGGGCTGGAAACAGGCCCTTAGAAGTTTAGGATTCAAATGCTGCCCATCATTCAGTCTAGCTGGGAACTAGGTCCTGAGAAAATATGGAAAATGTTAACCTCAAGCACTTAAAAGGTGGGCAGCACATGGCATAACAAGGTGTTGGCAGTACTGCAGTAATGTCTAGGGCACTCATCAGTTCTCAGTGTGTTGATGTTAAGCAATGGCTTGCAGATAAAGTGACAGATACAGCAGTTGTATTTGAAAATGCTGTGTGCTCTTAAAAGAAACAGTCATTGCAGCCCAGGGGAGTGTAGAAAAAAGATGTCAAATTTCCTTGTAATGGGCTTTCTTTGTCTCTTGAGCAGCACTTTGTGCCCAGGCAAGGTGCAGGCACAGCCACTTCATCGAGGTGCAGCTGTGCGGGGGTTCTGTGCTGCCGGCTCTGCCTCAGGCAGCCTGTTCCACACGGTCTGAGGCAGCAAAGCCACAGCTGACTGCAAGTGCAGGGGCAAACAGAGAAAAGACAGAAAAATAAATGGATACTCCTAAGTAAATAGGAGCAAAAGGCTCTTTGAAACACTGACAGGGAGCAGGGATCTTACTTTGCTAGAATGGGGATTGTTTTCCAGAAGAGGTACAGAAGATTCAGTCTGTTTTTTATGCTTCTGCACTGGCAGAACAACTGAACCTTTTCTAGGGTATAACTTGGTGATTAACTGCAGGTTAAATCTTTGCAGGTGTGCTTTACAAAACCGAGGTCATCTGAACATAAGATTTCTGCGAAGTCTAGTTGGCAAGTCTTTTTCCTCAAGCACAGAAATAAGACAGATCAAAGGTCTAATCTGGGAACTGACTTGTGCAGAATTGGATTAGTGGAGATGCTTTACAGGACTGTCTGGTTACCAGTGCTATTCAGAAACAGTGACAGTCCAAGCCTGACTTCCTGGGCCTCCTCTTAGACCTCAACAACAAAATATTTTTTCTTCCTTTTGCTTTTGAGAAACAAACAAAAAGCCTGATGTTTAGAGATGGCTTTAGGTGTTTGTTACAATAGCCTGTTGTCGTTGTGCTGGTCTGTGTACTGCAACTTCTGTTGATATTTTTCTTGCTCTGAAGTTGCTGAAGTTTATTGGTGACTCTAGCCATGACATTTTAGTTGAATAGTAAACTATTCAGAAGACCTCAGGTTTTCCCACTTAAAATATTCTTCGTAGAAATATTTTTTCTACAGGTGGACCTTCAGTGACCCAGCACACTAGCATGCAGGAGAAGAGCTGAATTAATAACCCTTGCCACTCCAGCACAGGGGTTTTCCAGGTTAACTGGAGGCATATAGGATAAAAGTGTCTGCTAGTCTGCCCTGTTTCTGCCTGAGTATTTAAATATGTCTAATGATATAGTCTTAAAATCTGTAATTTTTCTTACTACCTTAAAAAATATTTTAGAATTATGGGAAGTGAGCTTTGTGTTTGTTTTTTTTTTAAACCTAAAAAGAATGTCTTTATCAGCCAAATGTTAAATGTTAAGATTTAGTTGCTAATTATTGTGGTTAAATGTTTTCAGTCTATAATTAATACTGCTTATTATGAAATGTCCAGTGTATATTGCAGTCCAACAATAGTAAACTGAGTGTAAAGTAAAAATGTTGCAGAAGCACAAAATTATTAAAAGTATTTTCAATATCACATAAATTTATCCACACATGCTTTGAAGTTATTTCATGAAGCTGCTCACTTTGAGTGCAGATCATATACACTGGAAATAAAAACGTATATTAATGCTTGGGCTGATGTAATGAATGTTAGCTGCATGGTGTAGACTTCCATTCCTTGTCTTGTAGCCCTTGAACACACTGTTCATGCATCTCTTTGTGGCAAAGGAAGGACATGCAGCTGGCAGTTCCCGGGAAACTGTGAGGTGAGTTCCCAAGTAGCTGTAGTGAAGCAGGTGCACTCCTGCCATCACTTGGAGAGGCTGTGGGATTTACCAGTGCCTTCAGGTTTACAGTGCATCAGAATGGAACATCTCTGAAGGCTCAGAAGCTGTAACACATCACCTTGTGTTACTCAGTGCACAGTGGCTCAGAAACCAAGCTGTGGCAGTTCCGAGCACACTTCTCACGCCCTGGTCAGGTTTAGCTGTAGCTTTGCTGTCATTTCCCACAGAAATAGTACTGCACTTGCAAGGCAGAGTGATTTTTCTTTTAACTACGTTTCCACTTGTAAAAGCCAAAGCATGGGAGTGAGCAGGAAACTTAGAAAGTCGTAGATGTTCATGGGATACACCTGTTCCCAGGTAACTTATGGATAGTTTGTTAGCCACAGATTACATGGTAAGGCTGCAGACTACAGTACAGCAGCACAATGTGTTGCTGTGTTTGCTCAGGTTATTTGGTGTAGCCCAGAGTCTGCTGCATAAACAGGGAACTGCACTTGGTGCTGCTGTTGAATTGACAGTTTGTCACATCAAGTCATCTCATCCAGATGCCAGGTCAGATCTGCCAGCAGAGGTCTGGCATCTTTAATAGTTCACCAATGGGGAACTGATATAAAAAGGAAGATATTTGAAATCTAAGGATTAGGAAATTAGAGAGAAATAAAGTAGGAAAAAACAGTAAAAAATGCCCAGATGAATTTTATTTGATCTAATTTGTCAGAAATGTTTTAATTTTTGAGCCACATGGACTCATGGAGGAAGATTAGAGACACTGGAGAGAAAAAAAGATTTATATTAAAAGACTAGCTGCTGTCTGTCATTGATGGGTGCAATGATGAAAGATTGAATAAATTTGTGTCATTTGTCCAGGAGAGCTTTCATCTTACTACCAGAACTGCAGTTTATACTTCTCTTCATACCAGCTGAGGAAAATTTAGGTAGGAATTTAATACAATTTCAATCTCATTAATAGACACTGTGAGTTTTATGGTGGGTTTTTTAATATTGAGAACATTTATCAGTTTCTAACCATGTGGAAAACACAATCTGAAAGTATCCTCCTGTGAGGATCCCTTGTGCAGGAGGTGTCTGTGGTTCTGTGCTCACTCCAGCAGCCATTCAGCAGTGTGTCCATTTCCTGCAGTCTTTAAATTTGCCAGAAACGGGACATCAAACAGGATTAAGATCAATTCCTGCAAGTTTTGTGAAGGTTTCTGGTTGAACAGAGCCAAGAGATTGAAATTGGGCACTTCGTCTTGCTTAGCCAAGCAAGTACAGATGGGGAGAGGACACTCTAGTGAGGCTCAGAGGGGCTGCTGGAGGCATGGAAGGAAACTCAGATTATTTCTTTTAAAACAGAGGTACAAAGATAAAAGCACATCTTAATCGAAGAACAGCACCTGGCTTGGAGTTTCAGTCCTGAATTCAGACTAATAAACTAAGCATGCATTTAATGCCTGATTTCTTGCTTGGACTTCTCCAGAAGTGAGCTGGAACCTTTTCTAGGTTTCTAGGCATATAGTTCCAAGACATGCTAAAAGACTCTGCAGTGGTGCCTCAGCTATGGAAAACAGGAGCTGAATGAAGGGCTTTGTCAAGCCCAGCCAGCAACAAATATCAGCTTCCCTTCAGCATCACAAGTCCTGACAGATTCTCCAGTGGCATAGAGAATTGGCTGCAGTATTTTCATAGGGATTTAATTCTACCAATTTCTGATTGCTCTGAAGGTTATTCAGGTTTGGAATGCTGGATTAATTAGATGACTCCATTGACAATTCTCTCATGTTTATAGTGCTATCATTTTAGCTCCATTGCTTGGCTTAAACCACAGATGGCAAAGTGCTCCAGATCTCAAGTTTGAAACTGTTTTCCTCAAACAGTTCTGCTGACCACTGCTAAAGCTTGCATAATGAATTTTCCCTGCCTCTGATGGGTTTTTGTCATCCACAGAGCCAGGCCTGAGGGGTGTCTTTGCAGTGATGCCGCCTGCTGTAGGGTCAGCCGTGGGTAAGAAGTTCACCCTGCTCGTGTGCCCCCGGCACCGCTGTCACCCACGGCTGCACGTGCGCCAGGCCAGGTACTGCAGCTTCTGCTGCTGGGGGCACGTCCTGGGGGAGTGGGAGGAGTGTTCTCTTCTGCTTTGCAGCATCCATACCCTAGTTCTACTGCTATGGTTTCCTGTCATAACCTAAGTAGTTCTAGGATTATGCTGGTTTCGTTCTACTTCATGGCAAGATCAATTGTATTTCTTGTAAAACTAGTTTGCTGGTGATGTTTATTCTGTGATCTGCTGGAGATGCAGTGTGTGCAGTTTCCAGGTTTCTTGAAACCTCTTCCAACTTATTTTTAATTTTAATTTTCTCTTATGTCATATGCTGAGCAGTTGAGCAAAGCCTGGTAGGAAGGCCTGTTATCTGAAAGAGTTAAATAAGAACTGAGAATCCTTAGTTCCAGTAGTCATTCAGACATGAAGAGTAATTCTCTTCCATGTTTTTTTCTGTGGAAGTGCTCCATACCTTTGTCTGGGTATGTTTCAGGGGAGCAGCCTCCTCAGCCTTGCTGAGGGAGTTTAAGAAAATCGTGGGGGTAACACTTTTCTCCCTCCATTGCATCATCTGTTTTGATGGCCACAGACTGGAGCAGAGACTTGTTATGCCCACGCAGTGTGCCTTTAACAGCTCCTTGCTCCTGAGGTGGGATCCCAGTCATAAATACCATTACAACAGTGAGACTGGGTTACTTTCTCCTTTCTCTCAGCCTGCTGCTCACCAAGCAGAGACATGCCTTTCCCAGCAGCCTTGCCTGTTATCTCTACCTGTAGATTGACCATTGCCAGGCTTGGTTTTTCCTGCCATGTGAATCCTGCTGTCTGTGCTGAAACAATGCTCTGCTGTGCCAGCCTTGTGTCCAGGACGTGGGAAATGCTGGGTTTCTGGCTCAGGGGCTTGGGGGTTCTCTGTGTGGGTACTGTGGGAGTGCTTCCCTGTAGTGTGGTTGAAATAGAACCTGTATCTATCACATTGAGTCACTTGTTTTTCTCTTCACAGTGAGGAGAGTGCAGCTAGGGCAATGTATTATGGAGCAATGATTTTATTTGATTGATTTATTCTGGAGTTGCGTTTTCGTGTTCTAAATGTAAGCGTTGCTTTGTGGCTATGTAGCAGAGTTGTGATTAAATTAGCATTTCTGGTACCTGTAGTGGAAAGTGAAACTTAGGGATATGTGCATTCCTGGAGCACCATCACATGTGGATGGGGGGGCTCTGTACTGGTAATTCCACACTGGGCATAGCTCATACCTCTGCCTGGTAAAGCCACACCTTTTTGTTTATGGGCTGGTTCATGCTGCCAGCTCAGGCTGGATTCTGACAAATGTTTTATTGCACATATTTAACTCTACAAAATGGTTCTGAGGAAGCCTGCAGCTTATGCTCCTCTAGTTTATATATGCCATAGTTGTAGTCTATGCTCATGATATCCTGTTGCTTGACTTCTGAGCAGTTTAAGAAAAAAGCCTGAGGCCTGACCTTTAACACTTCACACCATCCTGCTGTAGTTCTGGACATTTCAGTGTTACAAAGCTTTTCATGCTATCTCAATGGTTAATTAATTCCAAGGTGTTTAAAATCTTTCTATATGTCTTGATTCCAACTATATTTGTTTAAATTGTATTTTCTTTTGGTGGCCATTGGGTATTGTCAATGGAATGTGACTTTTATGTGACTGGAGCTGTTACTTAGGCTATACCAGTATTCCTGATAAGAGATACCATCTTTTCTGAGATTTCTGTGGTTTGTTACAAATACTGAACTACTTTAGTTCTTTTATTATTAGAAAGCTATCTAGAAAACTGTTTTTCCTCTTAAATTACACAGTACCTGGTGATATTCATACTTCAGTGCTGTCCTTCAGTAGATTCTGGGTCAGCTAATTTCTGTTTGCAGAATATGCTTTGCCTTTCGCTCTGCGTTCACCTCTGTGCTTGGCTGGCATCCATAGTAACGGCCAGTGGAGCCCTTAGAGACTCATCTGTGAGAGTTGTCCCCAGCCACCTGCCTAGCAACATGTTCTGGGGGAGGGAGAGGAGATTAGGGTAATCTCTATTCCCTCTTCTCTTGCTTATAGAGGGGGGGAAAGCAGCTGTCAACTGATACTTTGCTTAACCATCAGTTTTGGAGTTCCTCTCTCCATCTGGCTTTTAGAATATGAGATGTCTCAGTTGTGTGCACCAGAACTCAGCGCACTAAGCTTTGATATTTAGGGTCCTTGCTGATAACTTGTCTAGATCCTGTCACTCTTGGGTTTGTACCATGTGTGAGTCACACATTTGCAGTTCATTGTGTGTGCTTGCAGTAGGGGAGTTTCTCTGTATTTTATGTTGGTAAGCTACTGGTTTTTGGAGGGTTTCTTTAGCTTTTTTAAGACTATGGTACTGGTGAAAGATATTAAAAAATAGAAAAAAAATTGAAAAGAGTTGTGTTCCTACAGTTAATGTGCAGGGAGATGAGTGGGTTTATGTGGAGCCCCACTGACTGTCATGGGGTCAGTCTGTAGGAATTGCCATCTGCACCTCGGAGTGTAGCCTTGTGCCGTGTCCCCCATGGAGCAGCATGCCATGTGGGGACTTGGAGCACTCAGTGCAGTGTTCCCTTTTCAGGAGGTGTGTGTCCATTATCCACCCCACAAACAGAATACAGTCACATTCTGTTACCCCTTTGTTAGTTTAGTTTTTTTGAGGTTTGATAGCTCAGTAGCAGATTTGCTCTACTAGTTAATTGTGTTGCAGTAGTGAAGTTCTGATAATAGAAAACCCCACCCCAGCTTTTCCCTTGGGATACTGCTTGTGACGGAAGAGGAAGATTGTAAATTACTCAAGTTTTTACAGGGTTTTATTGCTCTTGGAATTTCATTTTAGTTGCATGTTTTGAATTAATTCTATGGGTAAGTAATTGATGGTGTGCTATATTTTCTGTGCTTTGGAGAGCCTTGGCTGGCCAGGTGCTTGTGGTGCTGCCCAGCCTGGGTTGTGCAGCAGTTCTGTCACTGTCCATCCCATCCCAGCCACCCCCAGACCTGCCTCGGGTGTCCCAGGCCTTGCCCAGCAGTGGGGACAACAAGAGTTATAGGATTGTTTAGGCTGGAGCAGACTCTAAAGATCAAGTGTAACTGGAATAAAAAGAGAGCCTTGACAGATGGCCTGAGGAGGAGAAGGGAGGAATAAGGTCAAAATCCAAGAGGTCCCTGGCCCCAGGTAGAAAGGTGATCTTATTCAGAGGTCACTTCCATTCTGGTGTGTAGGAGCAGCAAAACCATCTGGAGACCACGTGGATTATCCTTGTATCCTGCACTGGAGCCAGGCAGTGCCTGGGAATTCAGACCATGTTTGATATAGTGAGAAATAGAATCTTTTTTGCCCATTTATGTGAACTTTAAGGCTCCTTCCAAATCCATAAATGTATAAAGAGTGGCAGTGAGAATCTGCTTATTCTGCGTTTCTGGATTCCTGTGTGGAACGATACTCTCCAAGTTACAGGTGTTTGGATGCAGGCACTTCCTTACGTGGGCGCTGGGAGCCCGTAACAAAACACGAGTTCCCTGGTGCTCCCTGCAGGAGGAGGTCTGTGCTCCCCTAGCAGCCGAGGGAAGCGCCGGTGGCCGTTCCCGGCGGTCCCTGCAGGCGGTGTGCGCATCCCAGCCCCGCTCCCGAGTCCCGGCCGGGGCCGCGCGGGGGCGGCAGAGACCGTGCGGGGACGCGGAGCTTGGACGGCAGAGACCGTGCGGGGACGCGGAGCTTGGACGGCAGAGACCGTGCGGGGACGCGGAGCTTGGACGGCAGAGACCGTGCGGGGACGCGGAGCCGGGACGGGCCGTGCGGAGGGTCCGGCGGGAGCGCTCCCGGAGCGTTCCTGCTGCGCTCCCGGACGGGTTTACCCGGCGCCTGCGGCCCCGCCTGCGCCCGAGCGGGCCGGCAGCGCTGCTGTGTCTCTTCCAGGAAACATAAACGTGTTCCCGGGCTTGAAGTGACTCTTCCTGATGCAATTCCTTTGTCCCTGGGCCCGCCTGTCTCCAGCTCTGTTGGTGTTATAGCCGAGGTACCCTCCTGCTCCCTGCTCGGAGCTGGGATGGTTTCCCGGCAGTGCAGTTTGTTCCTTCTGGCAGCCCAGAACAGTCCTGCTTTCTCTCTGCTGCTTTTGGTGCAGAACTGTTGGTTTCACCACTCAATTCCAGCGTTTTTCTGAGAGGTGAATACAAGTGGCTTCATGTTATTGACAGCAGTTCTGTGTTGGAGCTGGTTTGCCATCAGCCTTCAAGCCATGGTCCCAGGGTGTGTGACAGATGAATTGTCACTGCTTTGGTAGAAGCACTGGGACTTCTTCAGGCTTATACTGGTCCTAGCTAGGAACAGCAGTTTAATGGGAAAGAGTCTGACTGTTTAAATAAAAATCCATGCAGTTTGGGGGTCTGTGTGAGGGCACCACCACACCTTGTAGCAGCCAGATGCTGTCAGGGAGAGCAGGGTGGAGCAGCAGAGCAGATAAAGCCTGGCTGGCAGGTGCCCACCTCGTCAGAGCCTTTCCTGAGGCAGAGGGATTTGGGAATGGCACCTTCTATCTCTTTTAGTGGTGGAGCTTTAACTTGACTTTACAGAGCACAATGGCTCTATGTGCTGGGTGACTTGGCACTGCTGTGGGTAATAAGTCACGAAGCCACTGCTCAGCACTGTGTTCCTGTACACCAAGGCACTGTGTTCTTCCTTACTGTTTTTGAGAATTGATTTTCTAAATTGCACTGATGTAGCTTTTGGAGATTTCTGCCAACTCTAACCACCTGATGATTGGGCTCAGTGAATATAATTATTTTAAATGAGGCCTAAAGCCCTGGGCCACCTGGCCTGAGATGCCTTAGACAGGAGAACTTGGAACTGAGTTTCCCTTGTATTTTGTTAGGGAGAGAAAAGTATGTGCATTGGGCAATCCAAGTCTTAGTTGGGTTGTGCTGCCCCTTGGGGGTGGTTCTGTTTCTCCTCTGGTGCTGAAACTCCCACTGTAGTGTGCTCTGGGGATGTGTTCTAGGTGAAATTACTTGTGGGTGCAGACTTTGGAACAGATATTTGTAATATTTCTCCATATGCTAATGGAGTAGAAGAGAAGCATCAGAACCTATTAATGGCAGAGCTGTAGGACATTACCTAATCTCTTTTTTGTAGGCTGGAAGATTATGATGATCTCATGCCAATCTGGACACCCCAAAGTAAGACTCTGAAAAAAACCTTTGGTGAACATCTCCTTGTTGATCTCATGGAACATCAAGATGAAGAAAATAAGGCAGCTGTTTGTGAGGTCAGTCTGCCACGAGCTCTGGTTTTCTCTGATGTTGGTGATGTCCTGAGTGGCAGCTCACTCTAGCTCAGGGAATGAAATGAGCAGCTCACCTGTGAAAGGTAGAGCTCATGATCTGCACCCACTTGGTGCCCTTCACAGTGTAGTTTGTCTGTCTTTAGAAGTGATACCTCCAGTTCAGAAATGAAGTAGCAATTCCTTGTTCTTATGTGGATTCTTTTAAAGCAGTTGGGACCACTTCACCATCTTGAAGAAACCATGTTGCCACATGGGTGGTGTGCATCGTAGGTGACCTGTTTTCATTCCCAGAGAAAATGAGTAGCCAGTAATCCTTTCACAGTTTAAAATGCTGTAGATTTTTTTTCCATCTCCTGGCTCAGACAGTCAGATTTTTTGCTGAATTGGAGACAGAAACCCAGGAATTAATTTAAATAAGACAGAGGTGGTAATAATTATCCTACTGAAAATTCCTGTTAAGATTTTCCAGTGTTAGTAATTGTGCATGGTATTGCAAGGTGATAGGCAACATAACCTCTTTAATTCCTGAAGTCTGTTTTCTGTGGCAAATGGTTTTATAAAGCTGCAACGTGTAATCACTGCCATTGGGAGCCAAATGGGAAACAATACACCATTAGTGTAATGGCACATTGCAAAGGGCTGTTGCTATAAATAATACATTTCAGTTGCGTGTTCAGAGCTCCATGTGAGACCAGCAAAAGGTGTTTCAGGCCCTCAGAGTTTGTCCTCGCTGCTGCCATGGATTGGGAAGGCGCCTCCACGCAAACCACGATGGATGCCAATTTTCCCTGCGGAGAATGAAGCTGGCAGCCTCTTTTTGCACATATGGTAGATGGATTGGTTAATCAGCCTCTGCTGAGCCTTGGGCCTGAAATTACATAGCAGCCAGGCAACTGTGGTGCCCCAGCTTTGTCGGTTACACAAACAAGGCAAACAAACAATCACTTGTTTGAGGGCAGAAAAATTAAAGTCATACTTTTTGGGGTCTTTATTGGAGCACTGATGGCCTGATAAAACAACTGTACAAAAGCAGCCTTTGAGTTTTCATTAGGTTTATAAAGGCTTTCATTATGTGCATTAAGGTGGAAAGAAAATATGTTTTGATAATGTGTGTTTCACCAGATAGTTGTGTACAGTACTAAAAATTGAAGAACTTCCTTCTAGACTCGTGTTAACTTAGACCCAGAAACCCTCCAGCAGGCCAGTTCTCTGTGCTCAGAGGGCATTGCTGAGGACTGCAGCCTGCTGGGAGCTCCAGCAGCAGTCAGGCACCTGGGGCACCATGGGTTTCAGCATTGCAGGGGTGCTGCCCCTTTCACATTTGCCAGAGCAGTTTGTTTTGAAGACCAACTCTTGGAGTTCTTCAGAACTCAAAAGTATTTAGCACTTGTAATTGCTGCAAATAATACTCGCCAAGTACTGTGTTAGGTACCATGTATATAATATAGGATTGCTTTCTTGAGTGAATAATCTTATAGGATAATAAAATACACTTTTTAGTTTGTGCACAATTTTAGCTAGAAAGCAGTGTCCAAAAATGAGTCAACAATTACAGCTAGCTGCATCCAGGTTTTAGTTCAGCTGTGCTGAAACTTAAAGCCAAATGATGCCTTTTTGGAGGTATATTTTTTATTTACTGTAACAAATGTTTTACTAAAATAATAGTCCATATATATAAACTTAATGCCCTTGCAAGTCATAGCTAACAGGAGACTTAGAAATCCTCAGAGCTCCTAATACAGACATTACAAGGAAAAAAATAAAAAAGCTTCTTTAGGCTTTGCTGAAATAGTTCCTTTATACTGTTCCCTTATGCACAGTCAGAGATGGAGTGCTAGCTTTTGTTTCAGAAGTTTTTTGTTCTTTTTTTTTTTGTCCTGACCTAAAATCACGGGCTCTTCTGTGACGAGGCTTTTACATTTCAGGTTGATGGCACTGCAGTAGGATTCATGAGCTTATGTTCTCAAGTGAATGTTTCCTTGTTTCAAGAGTGTTTTGACTTAGGACCTTTCCATGGACTCTGTAAACAACATGCTGAAGATGTTCTCCAAGTGCCACGGAAGCCAAGTGTTCAAGAAGGTATCTGTATTCTAAAGTGCTAGATAGATTCAAGGTGCGTTAGTGTCTAGCTTCTGAGTAGGCTGTACAGAAGGTTAGAAAAGGATATAGGTTTACTAGCAAAAAAACCCCCACAAATTCACCTATCTGTCTTGGAGTGGGTTGCCTGGGGTTTTTTAATTCAGGAGGGGAATTTTGATAACTGATGTTGGACTCAGAAGCCACTGTTGTTTGTGGGGAGCTAGCCTGTGCCAGCTGTGGGATAAACATGGGCTTCAAGTTTGAGAAAGCTGAAGCATGGGGTGTATTTTCTGTCAGTTAGATACAGCTGTGCTGTTCAGTGAAGATCCGATTTTGAAGTCTGCTGGTGTGCTGTCTGTCAGTAGCCGAGCAGCTGGTTACCCGTGTCTGGTGTGTTGTCCTCTTGACTCACCTTGTCTTATTGCCTTGCCGTTCAGCTTCTGCTGTCTTTGCTTATTGTTTGCAGTCTCCTGGGTTACAAGATTTTGGGAGATCAGGGACTGTCTCTTGATTCTACTCTTATACTGGGCATGGTACAGCAACACATCTACAGCCACCTTACCGCAAGTGATAAAACCCATGAGTATGGCACCTGTTTGTACAACAGAAGTGTCACGTAAATGATTTACAGTTGTCGTCTTTATTTTTCAGTGTCAAAGGGCTTTTTGTGCAGAAGGGCAACATTTTGCTGTCTACTAATTATCAGTAATGGAATAAAAAAACCCCACCATTAGGTTATGCGTCTGCTTGTCTGAACACAAAGCAGCAGGCAAAAAAAGGCAACCAGGGAGCTGCAGGGCCGTTGCCAGCTGATGTCTCAGAGCTGGCAGTCACGGAACAGAAAAGGGAGAGGAGAAGGTCTTGGAGCTGCTTCTGTGGACTTCCCCTCCCCTGCAAAGAAGCATCTTGCACACAGAGGATGGAGGAAGCTGCCTGTCTCCTCCTGTATTATCCTGCAGCTCCTGCAGTGTCAACTCAGAAGAGGTGACAGACATAAGTAGGAACAGAAATGAGACTGAGGAGGAACAGAGATCACTCATGAGCTGGGGCCCCATCCTGGGCTGTCTCCTCTGGGTGACCCTGCTCGAGCAGGGGGCTTGGGCACGGTGACCTCCAGGGCTCTCTCCCAGCCTTACCCATCCTGTGGCTGTTCCTGGTGTCTGCTTTCCTTCTCCAGGGACTGCAAGCTGTAGGCTGTGTTCTGCAACAAATTCTGTGCTGCTGAGCTTTTCCCTGAGTATGTGGTTACCAGTTCAACAATACAGCAGTTACACACTTTTTATTTAGGGAATCTATGAGACATGTTCTAACTGCGAAAACTTAGCATGAGCAGTTGTTGTGTTCAGGTTCTTGTGAATCTGGCATCTGAGTGATTTTTCAGGAATTTCTTAAGCAGCATGATTAGCATCCTGTGTGTTTATCTCTTTTTCTCTCTCCATTTAAAAACTATGTTAGTTTTGATGGTTGATGCTACTTTACAATGCTGTGGGTCGCCTTCAGGTAAGACCCCTTATTTGGAATGACAAGAACAGCTGTGGGGAAAAAGAACTATTTGTAGACTTTCAAGTAGCTTGAGTTCAAATTGTTAATGATCTGCCACCTGGGAAAAAACTTGAATATCATAAGCTGAGAGCCTGGCTCTGGTGCTATTTCTGGAGAGAGAGCAACTAGAAATTTAATGGTAAAATTTGCTGTATACTGCTCAGGAACATTAACTGTTATTACTGAATAGTAATTAAAATCATTATTGTAGCTTTGCACACTTGAGAATATAAACAATTATAAGATTAATATGTGTTGGTGTCCTGTAACAGTGTAAGTTGCTGTTTATACCTGCCAAACAGTGTGGCCAAAAAGGAGAGATGAAACTAAAGGCTGTGGTAGTTGAATTTCAGAGAAAGGAAAGAGGAGACAAATCAAATATGCACTACCATTACTTGGATTTCTGATACCTGTTCAATAAGGCAGGAGCTTGTCACAAGAAATCTATTAGGGCTTATTGAGAATATATGCTTTATAGGATGGCTATTTGATAAGCAGCTTTTGTTTTTGCTGCTTGTTGCCTATTTGATTTATGGCCATAAACTAAGTCTGCATTTTTCAAGCAGTTTGAATGAAAAGCTCTTTGCCTCTGATTTGGGTTTCATTATTACATGACCTGTGACTTAAAATTCACTTCAGTATTCATTCATGAAAACTTTCTGGAAAAATGGTAATGTTTCATTTTTTTTTTCCTTTTAAATTAAGAAGGGAAAGAAAAAAGCCCACTATTTTAAGAACTAAGTTTACTGTAAAAAAAAAAAAAATTACTGACCAACTAATAAGCACCATTCCCTTCCTCTGACTTCTTAATTCTCTTTTCAAATGACATCTTCAATAAAGTTGTCTTGTTTGGAGTGGGTTGGGTTTTTCTGTAAATGTGGGGAATTGCATCCCAGTAGTTCATTGTCAAGCCTTTCCAACATAAGGGCTGGCTTGTATCTTTGAAATCTATTCTAGTGTCAGTTCTGTCCGGGTTGTTATTGCAAACCCATGGCTGATCACACGAAGCTGTTTTGGTGAGTGCAGGGTTTCTGCAGGCCCCTGCATTGGACACTGGCTGCCAGATTGTCCCCTGCTGTGAAGGCAGTGGAGGTTCACTGACCTGACATCCATAGAGGATCTGGACTTTACTTTATTGAATCCAAAGGCTGGGAATTTAAAATGCAAGCTGCATTCCTTTGTACAGTAATTTTTTATGTTTCCACATTTAAAAAGGATGCTTTCTCAAGCTCTTTAGCTTTTAAGTAGAGACCGCGGGTTGATATTATTTTTCCTTTCAAAATGTAGTACTGAATAATAATGGAAGAGTATACAACAGTCTGTACTGATATGCCACTTAGGTTTCAGGGTAATTACAGTAATTTGGTCGTTACTCTATATGGCATCATGAATTAGTTGCTAGAAAACATGATGCAGTGGGAATGATTCAAGGGCTTTTCATCAGGCCTCATGGTGAACTGACTTCTTCATCCTGCTGACTGTACCTCAGCTAACAGCCCAGCAATCACAGAATTATTTTAATTTCCTCTTTGTCTGTGGTCCTTACTTGATTTAGTGTGACAGTATTGCTGCTCTTCCCAGTCACTCGTGTGCAGCGTGTGTGCAAACAGCGATGCAGCCGTGTCTGACAGGAGTGGATGGGGGAGCCATTAAAGATTTGCATTTTACTATAAAGTCAGAAACAACATATCAATATTTACATGACAACAAGAGACTTGTATTAATTAACTTCTGACACCTGCAAGGCTGTTTGTAATGAGAAATGGAGCTGGTTAATCAAGATGACATTTGATAATTTCTGTGAAGGCTCACATCTGTGGTACCCCAGAGAATCCAGGGCTCCTACCCCCCAGTGTTTCCCCTTGCCTTGCATGTTGTGTCTGCACTCCTTTTATTGACAGAGAAGCAGATTTTCAGATAAAAGATGTTTTTTTTCTAAATACTTTTCACTAAATTATTTTAAACCTTTGAGGTACTTAAAAAAAAAAAAAAATGCCCGTTACTGTATGAAGAAACGCTTCTGTCTGCGAATGTAGCCCAGGGGGGTGTCCCAAGGCAAAGTTCAGAGAGAGGTGGGAGGAATTCTGTGTTCTGAAGACTTTGGTTTTTGTTCTTCCCGGAGCACAGAAACTGACTTCCTTGTGTTCTTGGAGCTTTCAAATGCAAGGATGTCCTTGCCTGGTGTGTTTTCTGCAGCAGTGATACCTACACCTCAAGAGCTTATTAGTTAAAATTTATTAGCAGGCTTTAGTTTTAAATATAATACCAAACTGTGAATGTATCAGCAAAACTAGTGAGGTGGCACTTAAGGAATGGCAGAACTGCTACCTGTAGGTTCAGGGGCTAAAAAGACAACAGCTGACTCTTGGCTTTGGTAACTTTGGTGGGTATTTGGAGCAATATGTAGGGTTCCCTGCTATTTCAATATTTCTTTTCCAAGTTGATGATTAAAATAATTTTGGTCCATAACATTAAATGTGGCCTTTGATGCATTATCAGATGGTTTTTTGTTCTGAATACTGTCCCCTCACATTTACTTTAGAGGCATAATCCTTCACAACATGGACTTGGGAACTGCTTTCTCTGGAGTGTGTAACATTTGCTGGAATGGCAGTTCCTGCTGTCTAACAAGCAAGATGTTTTTATTAGGGTTTCTTAATATTTTAAATACTCACTCTAGATTTAGCCTTGACCAGGGGAGTGAATAGCAAACCCCAGTGTACAGTGATATTTACATAATATCCCTAAGATGTGCTTGTGTTGATTGGTTAAGCACTTGCCCAGGAATGCTGTATGAATGCTGTGTGTGTGTGTATATATCTGTAGCATTGTGTATGTGTGTCTCAGCAGTTGGTGTTTAAATATTGATTCATGACAACTACGACTAACTTCATCCTTTCCCCTTAGTTGTCTGTCTGCCCACAAAAACATCCTTACTCAGCTGGGAGTGACTTAGCCTGCAATGTTACTGCAGTGTTACTGAGGATGGTGGGAAGGTCTGTCAGCAGATTTCAACCTGGTTTCCATTGCTTTGGTTGTCAAGTGCTTTGTGGATTGCTTTTATTCCTTTTCACAGTGCTGGTGTCTAAAAGCTTACCAAAGCCTGGGGTCACTACTGCTGTGGGAGTTCCTCATGTGTCTCAAGCAAGTGTCTGTTTTTGGCACAAAAATCATACCCATACACAAAGTTGCAATGGCTGACCAAGTGCTTTCAAGCAGTTCCTTCAGCATGGAAGGAGAGTGGCACAGGAGAGAAGTTCTGAGAGGAAAAGGAGGAAATAGACAAAGAGCAACAACTTCTACACAAAGTAAAACAGCATTTAAAGGACTGATTAGGTTTAGCAATTGAGAAGCAAGTTTTAGTCCCTGTATCTTGTCCCTCTTTGCACCAGTAAGAGTTCTGACTCAGCTAGGGAGTTGATCTTAATCTGAATTTCAGTTCTTTTAGAAGAACTAATCTGAGAATGAAGAGCCTTTGCTTGTCCTTGTGATCATGAGAAAATGAGTTAGTGACAGGTGTGGGGTTTAAGATACCAATCAATACACTGACTCCTGTTTTTTTCAGCTCAGATGGGGTAAAAATTTGACATATAATACATGATTTAAGAATTACTTCCAAACTGTCTTGTTCAGGTCTTATTTTACAACTAATTCCTGGGGGTATTTTTGCTTAGAAATTGAACGGTCTAATGAAGTTCTAGACAAGCAGCTACAGGAGAGTCTATATTAACTGTGGTTATTACAAATATCTCTTGATAGAGGTAGCCTTGCCTGTTCCAGCTATTGCTGTGGTTCTGAGGGTTAAACTCACTTTTTTAAGCCTTATGCACTTAGTCTCTCTTTTTTTTTTTTAACTCAGGTGAAGATGAAAGCAACCAAACAAATCAAAAACCAGCGCCTGTTTCACGTGGGGACTTGGAACGTGTTCCTGGTCCAGATGCAGCTGTGCAGGTAATGCTGCCGTGCCCAGCAGTGCTAATCCCTCCAGGAGCTGCCAAGGAGCAAGGCTGGCAGAGATGAGCACAGGCAGTACTGCTGATTTCCTGTCCCCTGCACGGGCCCACATGTGCCTGCTGTGGTGCACGGATCAGAACCAGCTCTGGCTGGGGTCTGGAGGGAGGTGGGCACAGTTAGTGCTTGGGTGAACTTTCCCATCCAGTTCCTCTTGAGCAGCCAGGCAGCACAGGGGTGGGAATAGAGGGTCCCTGAGGGGAGAGACAGCACGGGGGCCTTAAATAATGAAAATACCTTCTGAAAAGTTGTAATTCTGCTTTGCTCCTGTTGCAGGAAGACGAGGCCACCGCTGTTTCCCAGGCTGAGCTGCCATTGGATGATGGCAGCACCAGAGCTTTGAAAGCCTCAGAGACACGTCCCTTTGAAACTGAGGAGGAAGGAGCTTTGCGTCCAGTGTACAGAGGAGCTTCCAATGCCTTCTGTATCCGTCTGTTATGTATTGATGAGGCCTATGAAACCAGGTGAGCATGAACAGCCTGTTATCCTGCCGATGACCCCTTGCCAGGTTACATCTTTAGAGCAAACCAGAAAGGGACAGCACCTGCTGCAGTTGGGTGGGAGTTCTTCTGACCCCTGTTTCTGTCTGTTTCTTTCCCCTTCAGTAATAACTTCTCAGCCTCCAGCTGCAACTTCTCATCTCTGATAGGCCTGTGGGGACAAAAAGTGAGGGGATGCATTTTTTTGTTGGAAAAAAATGTTTGTTGAAGTTATGGAAGAAGGCGTCTCCTTCCCTGAAGAAACACTAATCCAAAGCTGACTAGCTGGGAGAGGAGCCAAATGTCACAGTACTAGACATCTCCCTGGATGGGGCAATAAAGCTGGTTTTTGCTCTGCAAGTCATTCTAAACACTCAGCCTCCCATCACTGAGAGGAATTGATTCCATATTCTAGGATCTGCTACAGTGGGGAACAAAGGGTTTTTCTTTTAAGATCATTGATGCTGACCTTGGACTCTTAGATCCTGGTGGATTAGAACAAGGCTGTAAATGGGGTATAGACACTTATTTCCCAAATTTCTCTGTACACTTGTAAAGCAAACCTATATTCAATCAAATCAGCAGAAGCTTCTTCAGGAACTTTGTCCTGATCATAAATGAGCCCTGCTCTTTTTAGAGATCATATAAAGGCAGATAAAACATACTTACAATAAGTAGACAAAACAGTTGAGCACACCCAGGGTCTTCCATGCTTTCAGATCCATGTCATGTCTGCAGACACCAGGTATCAGGAGTATCAGGTGTAAAGATTTCATAGAAGATGAGTTGGGCATCTGTAGTGCTGTCTGAAAAACATCTTTCTGCTTGTAGTAGTAGTCATTGGTGACTGACAACTTCTGAACTTCTCTGGCTTAAAGCAAGTTTAGGAGTAAGCCTGTTTAAGAATAAAAAGGAGAATTCCTTGAAAACTAATTCTATTTCTTAAGCTTTTTTTTTTACTAAGGAGGGAACCTACCCAAGGGGATTGAACTCTGAGTCTGCTGCAAATGCAAACATCTGAAGTTAGCAAAGCAAACACATGACCTTGGTGCATATTTCCCAAGTGATACACCCAGTAATATAGCTTGAGTTGGTTAGGAACTAGTTTGGAGAGAAATGGAGTGCTAGAAGTCTGTGCTGTACTGAAGAAAACACTGATCAATGAATGTGCAATAGAACAATTACACTGCAGAAAGGCTGTTCCAGAACAGTTAATTTATGGACAATCTAGTGTAAAATAAAATTCAAGCAGGATAATTACTGAAAAATAAAATAGCTATATTCTAATATAATACACTGAGGTGAGGTATTTGCTCTGGAATGGCTCCATTATACTGAAATAGCAGTTCAAAGCTGTGATGGAGACCTATGTCAAGACATAATCTCTGTAGACTTCTCAAGTTCTCTGCCCATAGTATCCTGCTTAGGATAAGGATCTGTCCCTTTTTTTGCTCCCTTCTGACACTCTGTACTTTGTGTCTACCATTGTTTCTGTTCAAGACCTTTCTCGCTGCATTTATCATTCAATGCTGTGATCCCAGTCTCTTTTCCCTGGAGACGTCTCTGGAACAGTGTGGATTCCAAGATGGGTATCTAGAGGAGATAACATTCCTGTCTGAGCACTTCTCCTAAGATTAAGTCAGGCAGATCCTCTCCTCACAACTGAGGAATCTGTAGATCTGTTTTCAGATGTTTTGCTTGTATGCTTCCCTGGCTTGCCTTTGCTTGGTCCACCTGTTTGTACAAGAAGCATTAGCAAAGCAAGTATGTGTAAAGGAGGGCAGGAAGTCATCCTGACTGCAGCTTGGAATCTTGTCCCAAGGGAGCTCCTGCTGGCCCTGCAGAGCATGGGCCCAGAAATAGCAGTTGAGTTGAAGTGTAGGTGTGATTGCATCTTAGCCCTGAGGGAAGTTTGCTCCTGGGGAATTGTTATCCAGCAAAGCTGCTGAATGTTTCCATCTCCTAAATGCAGAGCTGTTATGTGGTTTGTTAGTGCACTGACAGTGAAATGTGAAGGAACTGAACTGCTGGTTTATCTGCAGATATTTAATACCTTTCTAAGCCCCCTGAGAAGTCCTACACCTCCATTCTTGTGGTCCTTGCTCCCAAGAAGGTATTGGGTACCAGAGAGAGAAAACTACATTGCAGTGGCGTTTTCTTTTCCCCTGCTTAGCTATTCTATTAACTAGTTTTAAAGATGTTTATATGGGTGAATATAGAATACCCCCATCCTGATCTGTCCTTACAGCTTTGTTTTAAGTTTTCATTCAAACATAGATATTGTAATTAGAAATTTTCTCTTTTCAGTTAGATTATTGAGGTAATAAAAGGGAACTTAGAGGTCTTGGGGAAGGGATTTACCAGTGGTTTTAGGTAATGTATCTATAGTGAACTTCTTCAAAAGATAGATTTTTACAATGGGAAACTATTTTATAAAGCTTCATCTTAACTTTGGGCTTAGAGCTGTTTGATATCCTTATGCATGGGAGAAACAGGAAGGATTTGCTAGTTTCTCACTCTCATGGAGTTTTAAACTGAAATGTCACAATTTGCTGTTACCATGGAGAAGAGAGTGGGATTACTCTAAGTCAGTAGGTGAGAAGTGGAAAGAAGTGTTCAAAAACAATTCAAAGTATTGATGTTCCTGTTAGTCTGCTAAAGCACATCTGACAGGTTTTCCTGAGTGGAAAGTCACAGAGCTCTTGCTACTCTGGCTATTATGGAATAGAACAACTACTGTTGTAACCTCAGTGTTTGCTATATACCAGTGCTGCTGTGACAGTCCAGGAATGGCTTCTGAAAAGCTTGGAGTCAACAGGATGAGAGCCAATGTTTTGTTTTTTTTTTTTCCTCTTTCAGTGAAGAGCCTCTTGTTTTGGTATGATGTCAAACCTTCTGGTTATTCTCGTTAATAGTGGTGCTTTAAGTACTAGAAGTCACAAATTGCTGTGCAGCATGCACGTCAGTAGTTGCTTATTGATGATTGCTCAGGACTGTCTGATTAGCTGTGAATAAATGTTCCTGCACTTACAGGGCTGTAAATATCACTATGTATAGGCTCTGACTGATCTGTGCTTTATTGACCAATGTCTGCTCTTGGTTGCAGGTCACTGGATTTTTTGCATTATGCTTTTGAGGTTTTCCCAGTGAGTATAATCGAGGTTCTATAAGGCTTGTGTGCGTGGGTGGTGGGACAGCAGTGCAGTTGGCAACCAGAGGGTTTGGGAGTCAGTGCCCATGGGAGTGTGCTGTGCCTGGTTACCCTGGGCTGAGTTACTCCTCTCCTTGGCTACTTCTGGACTCTATGGATTGAATGCCAAAGTCCTTTGTCTATCATAGAATCCCAAAACGGTTTGGTTTGCAAAGGACTTTAAAGACCATCTCTTTCCACACCCCTGCCATGGGCAGGGGCACCTTCCACTATCCCAGGTTGCTCCAAGCCCTGTCCAATGTGGCCTTGGACTCTTCCAGGGATGGGGCAGCCACAGCTTCTCTGGGCAACCTGTGCCAGGGCCTCCCCACCCTCACAGCTGAGAATTTTTTCTTAATATCTGATTTAAACCTACTCTGTCTGTTTGAAGCCATTCACCCTTGTTCTGTCTCTCCATGTCCTTGTAAATAGTTTTCCTAGTTTGTTCTGTAGGGACCTCTCAGAAATGCCAGTTTAGAAAAGAAATGCTTCAAACTCCTTTAAAAACATGTATAGATCCAGACTGTACCTAAATTAAAAATAAAATCAGGGAAAATGATATTAGGTGGAGTTAAAGCCTATAAAAGTGGTATTAGGGAGCTCCATAGTATTTGCCTGTGGACTGAACAGCATTGCTGTGAATTCAGACACTGGTGGAAGGGAGCACTTGAGCAGTAATGGACAGTTATTTGTGGCAGGCAGATTTATCTCCTAAGGATACTCTTCTTCCTCAGAGAGCATTTGATGGAGACTCCTGCGTTGGTTTGCACCTCTGCAGCCTTTACAGCACAGCTCTCTGGACAATTGCATGGACTGCCAATGCAGTGTCTGTGTGTGTATGGACACCAGCAGTGACAGCTTTGGGACAGGCTGGACGTGGCTGTGCCCATACAGACTGGTGTTCCTAGTCTGCTCTGCCTGCAGTGCAAACCAAGCTGTGCCTGCACACTGGCTGTGCAGGACTGGGGCATGTGCTGCACTTGTCCACCAAGGGATCCCAGGCAGACACATTGTCCTGAGGTTGTGCTGCAGAAGGAAAGTAAGGTAGAAAAAAGGATCTTTAAAGGGAAAAGATAGATGTGGGCAGGGAGATAATGTTCCTGCTAGGCAGTTGGACCAGAGGGTCATTGTAAGTCCCTTCCAGCTGAAATACTCTACTGAGGAAGAAAAGTGGGGGAAGGAGGGGAAATGGAAAAAGGGGACTGCTAGGGAATATCAGAATATCAGTTAATGAGTCTCCACTATAGGGGCTAAAAGACCCACTTCTGTGAGCCCATCAGTTCCTTTGTGCTGTCCAGGCAGAGCAGTGCTGGGGGGAGTGTGCAGTGTAAGCCCCATGGTCAGTGTTGTCTGTCTGCTCTAGTCAGGGGGGTTTGTGTAAAGCTTACACAGATCACTGAGAGCCTTTCTTTACTGCCTGCAAATCTTTTTCAGGACAGAGACTTCTGTGTCATCCTGGTGCCCCATCATGTGCTGGAGTTCCCCCTGCTGCAGAGTTTTGCTCGAGCTGTCCCTTTCTGTACGTCCAGCCTGGGCCGTGAGCTGTACGTGTTGCACCGTGCGGGATTGCTCACGTGAGTGTGTGCCTGGGGACAGCACTGCTGGGCTCTGAATGCTGGGGGATAGACTTGCACCAGGCAGCCTGACACCACAGGGGTGTGCCTTTGCTGTCCCAACCCAACCTGGTGGTTCTGCAAGGTATGACAGAACATCTTGTAAAAATGGAAGCTTCTTGAATGGCACAGAACTGTGCCTGAAGCAATGGGGAGCAGAGCTAAATACCTCAGTCTGCAGTAGCAGTAGTGCAGCTGTCTTTGCTGCCTGTCCTGGGGTGCATGCCAGGCCCAGTCAGCTGCATCTCCACAGCACTATATGAGATAGCACATGAACATATTATATTTGTTTGTAGTGAAATGAAGTAGTAACTGACATGAATTTTTTAATGAAACAAAACTGAGGTAATTACAAGTGTGAAAGCAAGCAGTCTTCTGATGGCAGCACTGTATATAGTTTCCTTTAAGTAAAACCAAAGTTCAGCAAGAGGATTCCTTTAAAATTTGTATGTACAGTGCTCAGGTCAGTAAGAGGAATGCTGTTGCAGACCAGCAGCTCCTTGGAGTTCCTGTGTTGTGGGCCAAGGCCAGTAGAGGAACACAGTGTTGTTTGACCTCTGGGATATGGGTCAGGCTGTGTGGCATTGATACCTGATAGCCTGGCATAGATTTAATTCTTGGAAACATGCTATGGCTCTTAAGGGAACTGCAGTGCATGTTTCTGGAACATGCAGAACACAGCAGTAACCTCACTGAGTACCTGTTTTATAACACTTCTCTCTTACTTTAGTGTTGCATCACTTATTTCATGCCTTCAGTGTCTGTGACTCTCTGACTGCTTCTGTAGGCAGAGATACTGGTGAACTGGGGCAGCAAACCTTTCTTGCTGTGACTTCTGTTATGTGGAGTGAGTTTTCCAAAGCTCTGTGTGTATATCACACGTATCCTGGCCCAAACACCAAGCTTAAATTGTGGCACAGTTGGAGACTTTCTCTTTCTTTGTGTCTTAATGTAGCTAAATACTGTGTGGTTTCAGAGAAATACTCCTGGTTTAATTGCATACTTGATCATCTTCGGTGGTACACAAATAGCTCATGCAGGACCTGGCCAGCTACTCTTGGACCTGTGCAGAAGCTTTTTACCCTGGGATGAAATTGGGCTTCTGGGTCCTGTGTAAGAATCCAGCTGGCTGGAGAGAAAGCCACTGGAGTAATTCCTGGTAGTCTCAGGCACAGCTGCTCAGTAATACACCAGTAGGGTTGGGAGTCATATGTCCTCCTGTGATTTTGATCAAAATTAAACTGGTTATGGAGGTTTTTCAAAAAACCCTCACAATTCCGATTAAACTGTGCGTATTCCAAATGACACCAACCCTTCCATGAAAACAAAATAGGATCATTAGTAGCATTTTCCAAATCCCCCTGCAGCTGTGCAGGATAGTAAGGAAAAATAGCTGTTCATTGAGGTTCAGGATCAGAAGGGCTTTGGAAGAGCCCAGATGATGCTTTTGGAAAGTTTCTGGAGAACAAAACCCACAGGGTTCAGCAGCACATACTCTCTTGGAAATAAGTGAAATCTGAGAAAGTAAAAGATGAATATATTGTACTTGCACCAATGGCTTTCAAAAGCATGTGAGTGAAAAGAGAGTCACAGAAAATGGATTAAAAGAAAAACGGGGTAAGAAGATGGGAATATGAGGATGTGAAAGGGCAAAGTCACAAGAGGCACAGACACAAAATGAGCTCCTGATTAGTACAGATTGTAAAAGGAATAAAAAAAAGTGTTAAGTACACAAAAAGCAAGAGTGGAGCAAATGGAAGTGTGAGTCTGCTACTTAACAGTGAAAGAGGAAAAAAATAACAGATGACAAGGTATAGGCTGAGATGCCTAATGGATACTTTCCCTCAATTTTCACTAAAAAGCATAATAGTGCCCTGGTCTCTGAGCAGTCAAAGGACTTGGGCATGTAGAATGAGTTAATTCATTGCTGGGAGAGAAATGAGTACAGATCTTGGGTAGCCCTTCTTCCTATTTCGTGCTCACAGTGGAGCAGTGTTTATTTAAAAAGAAAACAAGAACAGTTTCACCTTTTTGCATGTTTTTGTCACGTTAAAGATGTAGTTCCTTATTGGCACAACTGCCTTCCCTGGGCATGGGTGGGGAGCAAAGCTTGTGGGCTGGGCTCGGGAGGGGCCTGCTCAGGGGCTGCAGGGTGAGCTGTGGTGCTGGTCCTGCTGCCCATCATCCTCCTCATGTGTTTGGGCTTGCAGTTAATGGTGGACATGCGTTAGAAACTGGGGAAGCTAAGCTGATGCTTGCTTGGTTCAGGATTAGTTTGCAATTTAGTAATCAAGTGTATGTTTTTGAGCACTCAGAAATGGTCAATGGATTGAGCTGTGAAACTTCCCAGAACACACCAGATACTTAGTAGGTTTGGGTTTTTTGAAGTACCAGTGCTGTTCATTAAACCTGTTCCAGAGGATCCATCTCCATGTGAGTGGGACTGAGGCTGAAGAATGGCACACCTGCTTTTAATTGGAGGCAAAAAGAACGGGAATGAAAATTATACTGTGTGAATTTCAAGTTTTTAACTGTTGGTGAAAGAACTTCAGTTTTGGAAGTGAAGCTGTAGTTCAGTCCCTCAAACAGCACTCTACAAGTGTTTATTACACCAGCTCTGTGTAACCAGGAAGGGTCACTGCCTTTAACAGGCAGTGGGAGAGTTTCTCAGCTGCTGTGGACTGCCACTGTGAAGGGAATTTCGCTGCTCATTAGTTGGGTGGGAAGATGTTTCCTCACTGTATAAAGGAGCTAAGTGCCAGGCCATTGCTGTCTGTGGCTAACATGCACACATTGCATAGGCATTCTGATACTGTGTCGCTGCTCTGTGATTATTAATTGGCACTCTGTGCTTTTCAGAGGCATTTCAGTCATGGAAATTTATCCTTGTGCTACTGTTTGGAGAACCAGGGCCGAACACAAATGTTAGTAATTTGTTCTTGGGGAAATTCGTGTTCCTGCCTTGTGTACCATTTCCAAGGATGACAGCTGGCTGTTTTATCTTTCTCTTCCCTTTTTTCTTTTACTTGCCTTTCTCTGTTGTTCTCCTTTCCCCATGTGCAGCAGTGTGTAGTTACAGATTCCACGTTGACTTTAAGGTTCTCTGCCTCCCTTTTCTGCCAGCTCTTACATGAAGGCAGGTGATACCTGTGGTTATAGGTCATCATTTGCCATATGACATAGGGCTGTAGGTGCACAAAAACTGAGTGTTTAATAGCAGATAAAGTAGGATTCTGGAGCTGTCTCAAGCAGATGCTCTGTGATATCTTCTCTTACCATGCAATAGGTTAATGTCTGCATTTGGAACAACAGTCATTTAGCAAGCAGTTTCAACTTCTGCAAGATGTGGGAGGTTCTTGTGGAGGGCATGTTGTCTTAAGCCTGGCAATTGTCTTTACTTTGTCATAGTGAACCTTAATTCTCCTTTTTAGGTCATTTAATGTAAGAAGGGCAACAACCAATGACCTGCTTGGTGTCAAAACACTTGTTGAAACCCTTAGCTTGAGTGAAAGGATATGGAATGACTGCAAGATATTCACTCAGGCTCGCAGGGATCCTGTAAGTATTTGTTGCAAACATGGGTACAAATCTTTCCTAAGATCAGGACTGAACCCAGACTGTAGTGACTGAGTTCGTAGCACTCCTGTAGCAGTTAGATCCAAACTGAAACTTCAGTGTGGGAAAGGTCTGTGTGTCCAGAGTCCAGCCATATACACTGCTCAAACAGTGCCCCTCGTGGGGAGCACACTGGTTTAACTGGGGTGGTGCACTGGGAGGAGAGTGGTTTCAACTGTGACTGCTACTGTTCAAAGGCTTCTGCTGAAATCACACGTGTACCTGTTGCTTTTGCCTTGCAGGATGGGATGCCAGTACAGGCTTTTGTAGCAGAAGTTTTGGATCAAATTGTCGGTGTTTCTGTCATTAGGGATGAAATGGTAAATTCTGTTTGTGTTCCATGAGCGCTGTCACTTGGCCTTCACACTAAAGGCTGAGTTTTGTGCTTGCCACTCTCTGTGCCTAACAGTGTCTGTAAAAATACTGCTTCTAGAAACTCCCTGTCTCTCTGTCCTGACTATGTACAGTGTGTTGCTCCCCTTCTCTCACATGACTGGCACACAGATATAGAAATCATCCTGTTATTTGCAAGAAGTTGCTGATGTGTTGTGGAAGTTTGCCTCCTGCACTCTTTTGGTGCTCTAGTGCAAGGCCATTCTGCCTCTAAATATGTTTAATCACTAATTTCTCCCCTAATTTCCAACTCAATAAGCCACATGTGCTGTAAAAAGCAGTAGTTCTTCTAGATTTACTTCTGCAATGTTTTTTCCAACAGTAGATTGAATGATTGTGAATCACACACTATAAAACAAAGGACAGCATATGCTCTAATGGAGTACAAAAAAGCATGTTGCACATTATTATTGAAAAGTAAACATTCTCTAAGGTTACCTGTGTGGCATTCTGCTAGTACTGAAAAGGTGATTTTAGATTGTTCAGCAGCTCTAATGCTCAGTTTTCAAAATAGAGTATTCAGTCATTTTCCAAAATAGCTCTTAATTTAATTAAGAGCGTTGAGATAAGAGGATATATTGAGTGTATAAACTTGCAAAAATCAGCTTGTTGGAGGGTATTTCTTGCACAACTCCCTCCAGAGTTCCCTTTTTCAGCTGGAATTGGGTGAGAGGGCAGTCTGGGCTTCTCTTTCTTGAACTCAGCAAAATCTGTCAGACCTTGGTGGGAAGGGGTCAGCTCTGCATCCGTTGCAAATGAGGGCAGACAAGCTGCAAGAATAAGTTTTGATACAATGAAATTTAATTGAGAACAAAGGCATTTGATGTCAGTGTTCAAATGTTCCTTAATTGATAGGACTGGCCCTTGCTAAAATCCTGCCAGGGTAGCTGCTGATCACTGCTGATTCCCAACTGTTTCGCTTTCCAGGACATCGAGTATGTTCGATCACGTTACAACATTGAAGATTTTATTCATTTTAATTGCCACCAGCAAGAAGAACATGGACATCTTTGCCACTTTGTCTTAAATCCTGTATTTCATCGCTATACAAAACACTTTCTAAAGGAGATTCTTCGCTTGGCACACAAATCTGCTCTTTACTATCCTGTTTATCCACAGTATGTGGAAGGCAAGGTAAGGAGAAAATAATTTGTTTCTTGTGTTAAATATTGCTGCCTTTGCTCACTTTATTTTTTTCTTTGCTTCTGTGAATGACTGCAAACAGGAGTTTTTGTGGCAACCTGCAGCAAACCGCTTTGTTCTTCTTGCCTGACATAATCTGCACTTGTGGGCACAGCTGTCACCTAGTGGGGCTGGTCTGTGACATGTGAGTCCAGACTCACCAGTGTCTTGAGCAAGCTTCTGGGGGAACAGAGATTGGAAGTGTCCTTGGCCTTGACTCTTTGGCTAGCATGAGGATAATGTACCCTGAGTAAATGCAAAGGATAATCCTAAACACATACTGGTGGCTTAAAAACTCTTCAAAAGCGATTTAGGTGCTCTAGACTCTTTCACCAAAAGTCAGTGGGACTCAGGCACCTCACTGGCTTTGAAAATGGGACTTGTGTTTCTGCAAGTGTCACAGGAGAGCCATAAGAACTTGATCTCTCCTAACAGAGAAAATCCATTTCTGAGGAGAATGGAATATGTGGAAGCAAACCCAAAGATTCTTTCAGAAATACTCACATGTGCTGTGTCATTGGTCTCAAAGAAGGGAACACAAGGTAAAACTTGCAAGCCTGTGTAGCCATCTAGAGTTCCCATCTGGCCCAGGCTGGTCAGCCGGGCTCCTGCCAGCACTGCTGCAAACACAGGGCGTGTCCCGAGGGCAGTTCATCCCCCAGTCATCCCTGCCTGTCTCAGGACAGACAGAACTGCCCCTGCAGCTCAGGGGCTCTGCATGGCTGGCTGCTCTGAGCACCTGGGCTTTAGATGGTAACTGAGATGGATTCTGTCCTTGGGGACTTGGGGGGTTTTGAAATCACCACCGGTTCTCCTGTAGGAATTTTGCCAGGTTAGACCTGGATACATTTGCAGAAGGATGTGTTTTCCTGTGCACCTCTGGAATTGTGTTAAGTGTTCCCTTGTGGAACCTATGTCCCCATGTAGCATTAGGTTCTGAGGTTCTGAAGAGGCACTTACAGAAATGCAGTTCAATGGCAGTGGATGGATGAAAAAAGTTAAGCCTTACTAATGATTGCAGTTTGGCCTATTTCCTGGCTAGAGTTCCTCTAAATTACTTTAGCTTGTCATTGCTCTAATAAGTGGTAAATGGGATGTTTTACTCAGTTTTCAACATAGTAACATCAAGTTTCTTTAATATTTGTGGATTGAATGGCACTTGAGTGTAACTTAGTTTGCATTAATGTTCATTCTGTATTTCTTGTAATTCTCTTATTTCTTTTTCCCTTTCATGTTGTAAATTATGCCAGAGCTAGTCATGCTGTAATAGACAGATACAGCTATTTCTAACGATCCAGGCTGCTCACATGAGCATTAGGGTTTTGTTCACTGCAAATTTCTGCTGGTTTATTAACATTTATCACTTGGATGAACTAGACATTTCAGTCAGTATAGAATTTCTATATAAATTCATCACTGTTCTTTGCCAAGCAGGCAAAGGTTAGTAGTGAGCAGATAACATGGCTTAATGAGGTCAAATCAAGCTGATTCATGATCACTATGGAGAAAAATATCCTCCTGGGGAAAATACTTGTGCTGAAAAATCCCATAAACCAAACCACTTGTTTATCTGTCATTCCCACAGAGATAGTAATGTAATTACTCTCATAATTATCTTCATTAGTGTCAGGAATTATCTGCAATTCATTCCTCTGCTCTGAGTATGTTTGTTTATTTGCTGATTTTTGTCTCAGATTTAGCCAACAGAGCTAAGAATTGTGTGCTTGCAGAGCCGTGCCGCAGACATCTGTGCTGCCCTGTTCTGACATCCTCTCTGCTGAAATATGGATCGCTGTCTTTCAGCTCCAGAGCCCCTGTGCCCATTCCCTGACATCTGCCCTTCATTACATGGCTCCCGTGCGGCCCAGACGACAGATTGTCTATCCTCTGCAAGAGCTTGGCATGAACGCTCCGTCAGAGCAGCTCTCCAAGGATCAGGTGGGTGACAGAAGCAGCAGCAGGCAGGGGGCACGGTGCCAGCTCGTGCAGGGTTTGGCAGATGGGATGGCATTACCGGCCCAGTGGTGATGGGCTGCTCCTTAATTACACGGCCGGGCTGTCCGGACCTCCCAGTCCTCCCAGTGCCCGCTCTGCCGCTGGGCTGGGCTGGCACACCCGGCACTCTGCGGCCACTGGGCAGGACTCTGCTGCACTCTGGGCTTGCACTGGAGCAGCACCTTGTCATGAGGGTACAGTCAAACTCCCAGCACGTGGGAGATGCTCTGCCTTGCTGTTCAGCCCTTCTTCCTGCTAAGTTTATTTTGGGGTTGTGCTCAGCAAATGGAAGAAAGACAGTGCCGTGCTCCTGACTCTGTCTGCAGAAATTGCTTCACTTTTATTTTTCAGTGCTGAAGTCAGGTTTCTTCCATGCAGGAGACCAACCCTCAAAGAACACTTCAAAACACAAAGTTGATTTAACAGCAAAGGAAAATGATTTTGCTACCAAAAATTCTTATTTCTGTAGAACTGTTGCAGTCTGGAGGTTCTAAATGAAAAGTCTCTTAAAGTTTCATCTGTTAAATCACTTAGACCTGATTCTCTTACATTTTTAAGTAACTAAAATTTGATGTGTAGATGATTCCTCAAAAGAGTAACCAGTGAAGCTAAAATGTTAGGGAAAACACCATTAGTGATAGATACTCTCTGTAGGTAGCTGTAATTTCATGGAGAAACATAATTAGGGAGCTTTATGTCTGTACTAACCTCCAGTTGGCTGAGATGGGTTCCCATATAATATTTTTAGTGCTGTCCTTTTCTCAGTTAGTCAGTAGGTTTTGGCACCCAAAACTTAATTAGGCAGCAGTTGGCAAAGCAAAATCCAAAAGATGGCTGAGGCTGTTGAGTTTGGCTTTGAACAGTCTTCCCTCCACATGCACATCCCTGCCTTTCTCTTCTCTGCAGAATGAACTGTCTGATGCTTTTCTTTAAACTACTTTTTATTTTATCTTTAAAGTGAGCTGTTGCTCTCTTACTAAAAGAACTCATCTTAGCATTTTCATTGGAGCTGGAAAATCTCAGACTTCCTGTGTCTGAAAGATTTGCAAATATGTTGTCTTCTCTGTTCCCAGGTTCTTCCTGAGGTTTTCTGCAAGTTGTAGGTAGTGACATAATTGTTTAAAATCTCAGAAGTTGAATTTCTATTTAATAATGTGAGATTTTCATTAAAACCTTTTCTGACAAAAATCCCTACCTAAAGGCTGTCGCTGTGTAAGTATCCATGCATCTGGCCCAGCATGAATTATGGATTTCTGACAGACTGTGCTCTATCAGAATGGACATCTGGGGCTGAGTGCTGGGTGGTAACTTGAGGATAAAGCTCATCTGCTACTGCTGCTGACTTTTCTGAAATACCGAGAATCTGAAACCACATGAAGTTAAATTGACTCTTGTGTCGAGTGACTGAAGTGACCTTTGGCCACTGTATGTTGGGAAGCTTTGTAGCATAAGGAATAGCCTGCCCCAGCCCAGGGGGTACTCACAGCAGGAAGGAGCTGGTCTGTGGCTCGGGGAGCAGCCAGGCATAAGGCACCTGCCCTCTCTCTGCTCAGAGCCTTGTCAAGGAAGATTGATCCCCATCAATAACCTTGCACTGCCCTGCCAAATCCTGCAGTGAAGTTACAAATGAACCGAGGTGTATTTCGTACATTAATATAACCAGATCTCAATAGGCATGAAGTTACTATCTTTCTGCCTTTTTGTAATGATTCAAAAGGCCCTCTGTAAACAGCAAGGTGCAATCTGTGGGACAAAGAGCAATGTGTCCCAGCGAGGAGATAAATATGATTGCTCTGCAGATTGGAAAGGCTGGGAATTGTCACCTTAAAAAGTACTGTGAGACTAGGTCAAATGTATTTTGGTTGTAGAACATGCTAACAGGCTAGCAAGTGAGGGAAAAGGGACATGGGAAAGCAATGTTTTAAGGGAAACTTAGAGAAGAAAGGTGGAAAGCAAAGAGTCTTGAGTAGGAATTGGTGGGAAGATGTCTGAAGCCAGCACCTGCATAGTAGTAAGGATACACTTTCTCCTATCATCTTTGTTTTGGTGGTTTTAAAGAAGATTGGGGCAGGATCTTGCAGGATGTTGAGATCTGGGCACACAGAGATTCCTGGCAGTGGAGACTGTTCCTCATTTCTTTATCACACACCCATGCCAGCTCATCAAGCTGGTTTGAGCTGAGGGGGCTTTGCCCTCTCCTATTTGAAAGCACCTCTTCCAGATGTGAACCAGTGCCCGTTTTGCTCCTGAGAGCTGGAGGACAGGTTATTGCTGTAATTGCTGCTTTGGAGAGCTCTGCAATGGTGGCAGCCTTTGTCATGTGAACTACAAGATAAAGATTGTAAATACAAGGCAGTTCAGAAATGTAGGATTTTCATTGACTGCCTGCCCTAATTGATTGCTTGAGTATCTGTTGCTTGTAATGGAGATAATTGTAGTGATATTCTTGCTTTGATACCCACAAGATGCCCCTTGATATTGAGCCATCAACATCTGCCTCTCATCTACTGCTTTTTCAGCTGCCTTCCTCTTGTTCCAGCCGTTTTTGAGCTCTTGCTCTCCTGTTCTAGCTGCAGAATGTGTTTTTCCCCAGTAACAGCTTGTGGCTGAGCAGCTCAGCCATGTGGTGTCCGAGCACAGCTCCCGGTCTGTGTGTGGGTCTCTGTGGGCCACTGGTGGCTCAGGATCTCCGTGAGTGTGCAGAGGGAGCCCTGGCCATTACACTTGCTGTCTCCCACTGCAGTCCTCTGGAATGGCACAGATGCTACCCATGGAATTCACATCCAGTCCTGGAAGTGCCTGGACTTGGGGATACCTGCTGAGCAGCAGGTGTAGCAGAGGTGCCATATCTTAGCTCAGAATTTCATTTGCTGCACTCTGGGGTTCAGGGCACAGACCTGACACAGCTCCTGCCTGCTCATTAGATCCAACGCTTCATACAGCTGTTCCAAAGCAAAAGGAAATCTCTGATTTTTGTGTTCTGAATCAGCAACCAGTGCTGAAGCGCCAATTGGCAGAAGATCCAAAGACTCAAGCTCTTAATTCCCCCAGTGTTAAAACAGATTAGATTATTATTGTGGTTTGCACATCTGTCAGTCATTTCAGTCATGTTACATTAAAAACCAGTTGGTTACAACAGAATCGTGAATACCTTATAAAGTGCTGCTGGCCTTTACAGTGTATGTCATTATTGATGGAGTAGAAAACTATAGATAATTAAATAATTTTTAATGATTTCTTCATAAATAAACAATTTGTAAACTTGTTTGCTTTCTCACCATCTGGGAGCATTCTGTTCTCCATCTGCTTCATGTAATTATCAATGTTAAGGGAAGAATAGGTGATATAATTAACAAGAATAACTGATCCACAATGAAGAACAAAAATGTCACACATCTGTTGAATTATTTCCTTGTTTTTGCCCTTTCATTATTATTCATGCTATTGGGTTTATTATATTTTTATTTCATGGCTGCATTCAGGCTGTCGGGTTTCATTGTGCAGTTTAGAATTGGTTGTTCTGCTCTAGCTCGTAAAAAGATGGAACAGTTGCAGAAGTCCATGAAGTGTAGTATAAATTTATTTTGGAAAAAACCCCTCCCAAACCCAATGAAAAATACCAACCCTTTCTCAGTTAATTTCATATATTTTGAGTGGTATTCCAGGGGCACTACAGGAAATCTTCATATCAGAAGAAGAAGTGGTGAATGCAGGAGGGTCAGGCAAAGAGCTGGAGTTGGGTGCTCAGCCCAGCTTGGAGCGCTCTGAGCCTGTCCCCTGAAACTTGTTCAGGAGTTGGGTATTGCTGGAGGACAGGATAGATGTCCATCTCTTAGGGAGAGTGTCTGCACAGCAGGGAGTTCTCCTGTTTTTCTGGGAAAAATTGAAGCTTAACCTCAGAAGCAATGGTAGATGTTAGTGTGAGGTTCAAGAAGGAACTGGAATACAGGGCACTGTGAACCCAACAGTTTTCAGTGCAGTGTGCAGGTATTTGTGTGTTTGTGTGATTCCATGCTCATGCTTATGGCAAGTGCTACGAATAGATGGCCTGAGAGAATTTAAAATATTAATTAAAACAATAAAATGAGAGAAAATGCTTATAGGATGTTTTTGAACTGTGTGTTGTTGCTTTTAGATTCACTTTAGAACTTGTTCCATTGTAGTGTATGTTCATGTGTATGTGCTCAAATGAGTTGTGAGTGTAAGAATCATCCTGACTCATTCTCTATCCTGGGAGCTTTTTATGTCTGTTATAAAGTTGCAGGACTTTAATAAAACAGAATATGTTTACCATGTTTTCTAAAAATAGAAATTAACTATCAGGTAAAACAGGGGAAAAAATCTAAAACATTCTCAGGCTCGACAAAATTTTTGCCTTTTGGGGCAGCTTGTTTTAAAAGGAAAATACAAATGCTCATATAGATCCATTTTATAGAAAACTGGTGTCTCCCCCAACAAACTCTTGGGGTACTTCACTCTCTGTGGCTTCTACTTTCTCATGTCTAGGCCAGCTTCTTAGCAGTTGCCTGAACTCTTTGCTTGTTGGTCTCTCTGTAGTTGGGACATACCTGACTGCAGCTGCCTTAGCGCTGCTTTCTGAAATAATGGAGCATCACCAGTCCAGATTGAGCACAAGCCACTACCCTGACCTGTGCAGGCAGAGAAAGGACTCAGAACTGATGGACTGACAGTTAACACCACCTCACTGTCAAATCCCAGCTAGTCCAGAGTGTGCACCTTGAAAATTATAGCTCACTTGCAATTCAGAGGTAATAAAAACAGGGAGTTGAAGTACGGGGATTTTAAAGCGTGGGGGGTGGCTGTGCACCACAGAACAGTCTGTTCTGAGCAAGCAAAGCTCTTGTTGAGAGTGGAACAAGGGTCTGTCTCCTTATGTGTCTGAATAGGTGTGTCAGGAAGGTGGTCAGGGACAGACATGAGCA